GCCTGCCAGGGCCTGGCGGCCGGCACGCTGTACCGCCTGCGCATGCAGCCGCTCTCCGGCGAGGAAGCCACCAACCTCTCCGTGCGCACAGGTAAGGGCGCGGCAGGCTGCCCCCTCCCTCGGGCGGGGGCGGCGGATCTCTTGCCTTTAACGTACGGTCCCTTTCGTGACGAGTGGGTCTTGTTCGAGGGTAAATCACGATTCCGGCCCGTTTATGCTGCTTTTAGTCTGCCTCGTGGTAGTCAGACAGAAAATGTAGGCTGGAACTTCCGAGCCAGTTTGGCTTCAGCGCGTAGTAGAAGTTGGGTGACAGCTCTTTAAAATGAGTATATCCCCCTCTCCCCCCGAACATTGTTACGGTAATAAAAGTAAAAATGAGTGTACATTTGCTTTGAACACAACCGGTGAGGTGTCACGATGGACCAGTGGTGCTCAGGCACCGGCATGCATGCGTGCCTGGCTATAAAAGTGTTCCTGCAACCTGCCAGTGGGCTGCCAAAGGAACCCCCCTTGTCTGGGTGTGCGTGTGCGTGCGTGTGTGTGTGTGTTTGCGCACAAACAGCTGAAAGCCATGAAGCAAATAACTACATAGAACAACTGACTTCAGTTGACGGAAGAACTGGACTCTTCCTATATGTAGTAGTGCTTTTTTAACAGAGGGTGAAATATAGTTTTGTGCAAACTCTTACTTGAGACTCAAAACGGAGGTGTCTAAAATAACGTCCATCGCTACATGCATCCCTGATTCGTTCCTCAAGCCTTAGCTTCGGAGAGGTATTGCAGTATTAGTGGATATCTGAAGGTAACAGTAGCTGAATACTCACCTGTTACCAGCTCGGATACATCATTTAGGGTCAGCCCTCCTTTCCTGCAGTAACCGTACGAATGCACTAAGTGCTCTGCATTAACTGCCGTTGGCAATTCAAATTTAAAAAGTCTAGTGACAAGTCTGCTGGTGTGATAGCTATGCGTTGAGCAGGAGTGGTGTCACTTGGTAAAAAGGAGCAATGGTTTCCATAGAAACAGTGATTTAAATCTATATCATTCATTGTGCCAACTGATTTTAATGTTGATGACCTATAATTTGAAAATGGATTAAGTCAGCTGTTATCAGAATGACAGGCACAGATCACCTCGTTGCTGGATGTTAGAGATCTCTTTCTGAACGCTTGAGTAGAAGCAGAGAAAAGGAGAGCAAATTAGACAGCGTGTTGATTAATGTATGATCATTTAGACAGAAGTTCATATATGTCATTTATGACTTTTTTTTGGTAAATAGATTTTGCAAGACTGTAAGATGATAGAAGGGACTGAAGCAACTGTTGATAATAGTCATATTATGTAGTCGATGCCAGAGGTTAAACTGGTTAAACTTCAAATTGACGTTGGGCAAATTAGTTGACCGTAGCTGAAGTCTGGTTGGTGTTTGAGTTTTAGATAGCAGAGATCAGCTGAAAGCATGAAACATGAACAGAGGAACTGCGGAAGTTTCCTACGAGGACAGGTACTCAGATTGCTCCATGGTTCCTCATTCAACTGAATTCAGTCACATCTGTTGCATCACTGGAACATATGTAAAATAAGCAATTAGCTCCAAAGTTTTTACAGTTTCATTTTTCCTAAGAAATGCGTAGGATTTTCTGTGCACCTCAACAACCTATGTTGTACTGTCAATACCATGTATTTCAATCTAAAGCCAGGTCCAGTTTTAAGAGGGTTATTAAGGGTATGTTTCCACTAGGGGCAGCATTTTAAACTAGTTTTCTTCCTCACCTGTTTCTTAGTGACTTTTGCTGTCAGTAGTTTCCTTTGAGGTACTGAGACTGAATGCCCACAGGCATATATGCTCCTGGAAGCTATCCTGTGAGTATGGAAGTGTGACCAATATTTTAAGCCATATTATAAAATAAAATTCCTACTGATTTGAATAACAGCAGAACTGAGCTATTGTGGGTGGGATTTTTGTTCGTTAGCCGTCTAAAATATGGGGTCTGACCTTGGTACTGAATGAGGTTCCCCTCCTGAGCTCTATAACTGAGAATGATGGGCTAAGGTGCCCTTTGGAGGTGCCCGTCTTTCCCCACTGGCGTGCCAAGGTTAAACCAGACACCTGAAATTTGGATGGTTGAAGTTAAGTGAGAGGAATCCCATCGCAGGTGTTTGATTTTGCAAAATGAGTTATCCATTTTGACTATTTTTATCTTCTTGATACAGTAAATATACACAGAGCAATTCACTTTTTATATGCCTAGTGCTGAAACTTTAACTTTTTACTCCTGCCGAGATTCAGTCCTGCCAAGATTTTCCGTAAGCTCGTTCCTGTTCTGAGTTCACTTTTTCATCATGTTTCTTGTACAAAGTGATAGAGTAGCTAAACTTATAAAATCCAAAATATATTGTTAAATTTTGAGCGGGATCTATTCTGATTAAAGATTTAAGGCGAAACCAATGGATAGCATGTACTATAACTGTTGCAATTCTAATGGAAAGGTTTAGAGAGGACCAAATCCTTAACTTAATTTGACATTTTGAGAGTTAGTTATACATTAACATCACAGTTATGACAATACATTAAGACTATGCTGTTTACAGGTTTGATATTCCAATAGAGTAAGTGTGCAGTTCGCCTAGACTGTGTAAACTCTCAAGTAATATCTGATCCTCAGAGAATATTTAGTCAAGAAATGTTGATCTACAGATTATTGATTTAAAAAGCCAAGTAGTTAATCCTCTGGAATGGAACTAAAATTGCTCCAACCAAACCATGGAAAATATGGTCATATAGCACTATATAAGCCATGTATACACAGACATACAAACACACATAAAATGTTTGGTAGTTGTGCTATTTTGGGACAGTAGGAAATGAAAAAAAAGTTGGTAAGACCATTTATCAGCTCTGAGCTACAGATAAATTTTCCACTGCAAACCTGAGATTACAGATGTTAGCAGGCACCAAGTCTGCATAGCTGGTATATTTTGTATTACTACTACTGTTTGGTATGTTTTTTTTAATATACATACATAAAATAGTATATAAGCCCGTACAGCTAAAACATGTGATTGACATGGTAAAGTTGTGAGAACACATGCACCTGTTGGTCCTTTGTTGTTATCTTTTTTTTTTATTGATTTCAGTTAAACTATTTCTGTGACTAAGAGTTGCAATATGAGAAAGGATAGTAGCATTGTGTCTTTCTCATTTTCAAATAAAATACTTTTAAGCCCTTAATTCTCCAAATGTCTGTGCATCAGCATAACCATGTATTTCAGTTGTGTGTTTTCAGTGAATGCCTCTAGGTCTTTAAAATTTTAGTTAAAAATACCAGCATATGAACAAATTCTAAATTACAGTCTAATGTATGACCATTGCATATGCCGAAATTTGGAAGTAAAATGGTCTGGAGAGCCATGAGAAAAGTCTTGGAAATTCCTCTTCTTTCAAATAAATCTTTTTAAACAGGCTTCTATTCTCAATATTGTTTTACACTAAAGTATTGTAGTGATAGATTTTGTTACTGCCTAATCCAAGGAACCTGTGCTGAGACAGCTAACAGGCAAAGAAAATTTTGTCAGAAAGATCATTAAATTTTTTAATGAAAAGAGGTTAAAAAGTCTACCTTCCATGGTACGGACTGGCAGATTATTTTTCTGTTGCAACACAGAGCTCTGTAAAAGCCAGAAGCATGGTTTGGCCATGCATTCACTCCTGTAAATTTCAAATTGTTTGGGATTTATTAGCCATCTGTAGAAACACCTGTTATGACACGGCCCTGACTATACGCTGTATCATGTCATGCATAGGATCATTGCCTCAAGAGGCAGAGTACAAATAGAAAATAAGTAAGTGTAGCTTGTTATAAAGATTATGCATGTCTTCCCAAAGAAATGTATGTCCATACTTAAGAAGAGAGAAATGAAAACTCTTTACTTAATCTTCAGAAAAATCCTTGTGAACTAGGTAATGGTTGCTGTTTTATGAAAAGGGAAAACTAGGAAAAACTAAGTGATTTGGTAGGAGTCAAAGATAGCTGGGACTGGAAATCAAGAATTCCCTGTTCCTAGTCCTGGGCTCGTATCTCTCTGTTATTCTTATCTCTTTGATAAGGCAGGGGCGTTCCTACACTTACAACTGTCTCTGTGAATCATGTCGTTGGGACTGGATGTAACCATATCTGTCCTTTCTAGAAAATAGAGCAGCTGTGCACACAAAGTAAATTATCTTCCCCAGAAGTGAAAGTGGAGGTGCAGTGGAATTCAAACATTAAGTCTTCTGGAAGACTACTTTGTGGACCAGGGGACATTAATTCATATAGTATTAAATGGTTTAAAATTATCTTTGTGAAAATATTTTATTTCTGTGATATATCAGTGTTGTACTGTTGCCAGCAAAGACTTGTATAACAATGTAAATGGCTTTTTAAGTGTTTGTTTCCATCCAGGGCTCTTCCAGCCCAGGCACTTCCCAATCTCATTGTTCCTTTGTTCTAGCGGATGCACAGAGCACTGAGTGTTTTGTTTTCTGGGCCAGATAGATTAGATAAAGTCTGCATTTCTGAACTTCACCTTCTAGGCACGCAACCCCTTTTTGGTTAATACACCTTAGAAGACAGAATGCACGCTGCAAAAAGCGTTGGAGGTGTCCTCTTCCGTGGAATTTGACAAATAACGTGGATTAATAATATTGATTGCTTTTGCAGGACTAATCAACAGTTAACCTAATCCTAACTGTTGGTGGAGCGAGAATTAAACTTCTTGACAATTGTCATGACTGTTCTCTTGCTGTCAGTCAAATTAATTTTTTTTTTTCAGCTGTCTGTGCATCTGACCATATATAGTACTGGAATTTATTTCTGACTCCCAAAGTTTGACCTTTTCTGATTAGAACAATTGCCTTCAAGGAACAAGTTTGTACTCCTGCTATTCACTTTTGCCAGCATAATAGTCTTTAGTGGATTAGTATATATTATAGGTGGAGCTAGCAGTCAAGCCTATTGTTAAGATTTCCTGACACTTTTCATTAAAATCTCCTGTTTCAGTCGCTGAACTTGGTCAAGTTTTAACTGTTTGGCCTGAAGTTTGGTGTGCCTTGTCTTTGACTTGAGTTTTAATTTTTTTTCAGCTGTAAGCAGAAGTAGTTTGGCCGTAAAAAAGAGGTCAATAAAGGAAGGTAGTTATTTTTCTTTATTGATTTTTCTTAATTTAATTTTCATTTCTTTTTTTGAAGAGCGTTAGTGTCTCTGTGGTCTGAAGCAGGAGTCTGAATTCAAGCAGAGAACTGGATTCAAAGGCACACAGTATTTTTACCCTGAATTTCCGACTGTGCTTGACTGACAAGTATACCACCAAAACTTGGCACTAGTATATCCTCAGCAGAGCTGAAGCAATTAAACCCTTTGTACACTCCAGGCTTTGAGGAAGAGCAGCGTCAAGGCTACTAGCCCCACGATACTGATACTGCTGTTCCTTTGAGGAGGGGTCAGTTTTGACTTTGCCTTTTCAGCCGTTACAGTGCAGTTTTTAATTATGTGATCTCACACCCTTTCCTCTGCCTTTTGTGAGGAACCGGGCAGCAGTGCTGCATAGGAAAGAGTTTTATTCTGTGTTTAAGGCGCTGCTGATACAATAGAGACCTTGGTTCTCAGCCTGGATGTGCCACACAGGCTCCCTGTTTGATGCTAGGTGAGATTACCCTAGAGCATACTCATGCAGAAGCCAAATCAAGTTGTCAAGTTGTTGGGTAACCTCTATTCTATAAGTTCGTAGCTTGTGAGTGCTTGATTTTGCTGCTTTGGGTTGTTTTAACGTACCTTTTTAATATGCAATTGCTTAATGTTATTAGGAGACATAAATGTCAATGCCTTAGTACCTCAACATATATTTCTTTTGATTTGCGTAAAGTCTTGTGGGAGGTGAAATAGTCCTGGAGAATACAAGCAACCAGAGTCTTTTGTTTTGGTCAATGGTTGCCATCCTTGTAGAGCATGTGCTATTTTACAGGTAATTTTACTTGATAGCTACTCCGTAAACAATACAGGAACCACTAAATTTCTCAGAGAATAGCCCTAGTTAAGAATATTTCTTAAAAACTGACCCAGTGTATTGTGGTTTTTTTAAATTTATATGGACAATACTACAGCAGAGCAGAAACATATTCTGTCAGAAGCTGTTTAAAGTGGTTGAAGGTAATGCTCAAACCTAGATGATTGCTGCCCTTAATACTTTGCACGTGGCATCGGTCTAAATGTGTAAGCGCTCGTGATCAGCTCAACAACTGAGAAAGCCTGAAATAAGCGTGTATTTTTTTTATCATCTTAGTGCTACATATTCAGTTAACAAGACTCATTAATAATAAAGGGTTTATGTAAGCGCAAGGAAACAGAAGCCATTGGTACCGCTGTATCTGTAGAGCTACATTAAACTGAGGCATTGTATAATTTGCTGGTTTTTCATGTTTGCTGTTTTCTAATATAGTTGTTACAGTTTTGCTATCAGCAGATTTTCAAGCTCATTATTTCCAACCCCAACTGCAAGTGCATCTCTGTACGTGTGTGTGTGCGTGCATGTGTGTACATATGAACAAACACACATTTCTGAATTCTGCAGGGCTTTCCTGTAGGCCAGTTCTGGTGATATGATGTTGAGAAGTGGAAAGAAATAGACTTTTTGATGAACGTTTGCAGCAGGATGATGACAAAGGGGGAACTTTTGAAGTTTTTTGTGCTGACATGTAAACTTCACACAATCCCAACCCAAGAAATATCATTTTTTGTTTTATGGTATTTTTTTCTAATTACAGATCCCTTGCCACCACCTCGATTTGAAATTAATAAGGAAAAAACTACACTCACAAGCTTACAGGTTTGGTGGGATCCTTCTCCAGGAAAGGTGGACTTGTATAAGCTACTATTGTCCGATCACAATAATAAAAAAATACAAGAAGTCACCATACCAGGAAGAATGTCAAGAATGGAAAATACTTTTTCCAGTCTCATCCCTGGGAATAAATATAATATCGTCCTTAATGCAGTTGCTGGAAATAAGAGTACCCCTGAACTTCACATAAGTGGATTTACTGGTAGGACTTCTTTTGTTGTAGTTCGTCTAAGTAAACTCCCTACAGTATTTTGCAGTTCTCCATTTTGAAATTAAAGCATATATATAATTCTTCTACTTGACAAGATATATATATATAAGAATCTCTTCGTTATAAATAAAAATAAACAAAACATGAATCTCTGACTAACATTAGGAGTCATTTCCTAAGCATGGAGGAACGTTGTCATGACATATTTGGCCATAAATCAGGGGCTGGCTTTTCACTAACCCTGAAGAAACTCAGCATATTTCAAGAGTTAATCTGTTCAAACTTGCTGAAATTGTGAAAATAACCATTAAGCCTTAAGCATCTCTTTTTTTTTTTTTTAATTCCAACAGTACCATCCCCTGTGAAAAATATTCAAGTCAGTGTCAAGACAGACACTATCCATGCTTCCTGGTCTCCTGGTACTGGGCACGTGGATCGATACAGGCTGGTGTTACTGGATAATCATGTCCCTGTTCGTGAGATTGACCAAGAAGATCCCTTGACTTCTTACACTTTTTCTGGACTTACAGCTGGGCACCTGTATAACCTCTCTGTCATCAGCCAGGCTGCAGGACTGGAAAGCAGCAGTTTTCAAACAGTTAGGACAGGTATGATTTTGGCATTTGACACAACAGGATGGGAAGCTAAGGCTGTAATCTAGTAACATTACAAGAGGTATTTCAGAATAATGAATGGATCATGTTCCAGCCTGTGTTCCCAAACTTCAGTGACTGAGTTACCCTCTGCAGATGCTTCTCTCCAAAGGCTATAGAGGGAGTTAAAGACACCCCAAGCTAATTTACCAGCTAACTTGGCTGCACAGATAATTTAGGCAGCTCCATTAAGTGTTTAATTAATATTGCAATGTTAGCAGTTAACAATCTGAGCCCAAGTGTCTTGGTATCACCTCCCATCTGTGAAAGAGGTCCATTTGACTGCTGCAGTGAACTGAGACAGTGTCTGGTCCAGTTATTTCACAATGTGGAAGAAGGTTTAACTTCATGTTTCTTACTTAACTGCAGGGGAGATGTAGAGCTTATGAGTTTCACTAAAAATTATTTCCTGTGGCTTTTTTTCCCTTGTGGATTGCAAAATAGCCGCACCTTAGAAGAGGAAGCGAGGGGGAGGGGGGAGAATAAAAAGAGTAGGTCAAAAACTTTAAAATAGAATTTTTTTTTCCACAGAAAAGTATTGATTCGCAGAAACAGTTTCAATGATAAAGTCTTTTTCAGGAAGATTTTTCAGAATAGAGTTTGTGATCGTAGGAAGAAAGATAAAATGACATTCTGCTAGAGACCAGTGGTTGAAGCACTCATGTCAGCAGAAACAGGGTCATGCCCCTGCTTTTCCTAATTTATAGAAAACTGTAGGTCTAGTTTCTCTTACAGAAACCTTACCTTGTAAATATAATTTAATATTGAGTGAACAATATTGCAATGCTTAGGGCACACAGAGGAGTGCTGTTGTCACCTAACGTTGGCCATTCTGGGGATTCTCTCATTTTATTTCTCCAGAATTCTTGATTTCTTCCTGTTACGAGATGCAAAAATTGTAAATCTCACAAGTTTACTCAGAACATAAAAACATGCCATCTAGAATCCACTATGATCCTCCATTTCAATATCTAGAGTGCTCCTTGCCTGTAAATGAAGATATTGGAGGTGGTTGTGCTTTGCTTTTGGTTAAAAGATAGAATAAATGAGTTTGAATCCAGTCCCACATAATCCGGTGGAAGTCTGGCATTTCTCCAAAGATGCTACAGTGTTTACTCTGCTGACATATATGCAGACATCTCCATTCTTAGGAGCATGGGCCTTGTTTTGTTTTACAGTCAAAATGACCAGCGTAACTATGGACATCGTAAGAGATTCCACTTCTGGAGCAGATTATTTTAAACAGGACTGGGTCCAGTTGCACTGTGTTTTGCTATAGCCCTTTCTACTGTTCATACTCAATTAGTCATACTCGATCTCCTATAACCATTTCAAAGCAAAACTTACTATTGCAGTTTGAAAGTAGGTCTCGTATGTTCTGAGGTTGTAGTGTTTTATTTTCTTTTTTATTATCCTTTTAGCCCCAGCTGAAGTCTTAGATTTGACGGTGACTAATGATGACAGCTTGGATACTTTAAAAGTTAAGTGGAGAAGACCTCCAGGAAGCCTCAGTTTCTATAATATTACTCTGTTTCATCTTGGATCAGTTAAAGAAGTCAAAACTGTACAGCCACCCGTCACAGAGACTCACTTTGACAAGCTAACTCCAGGACGTCTTTATCAGGTTACTGCCCGCACAATCAGTGGTGAACTGTTTACTGATAAGATGGCAACTGGCAGGACATGTAAGTCTTCTGCTTCAGCAAGAACACTGTAACCAATGCTATTTTTGCCTACGCTGGCCTTGCAGAAAATCATTGCAAGAGACAAAAGGATTTGGGTTCCAGGCAAAATAAGATAAAGAGCACAGTATTGTTCCGGGAATACCCCTTCCTGACTCTCTGGCAACAGTAACCCAGCAGCCAATAGCAGCTACAGCATAGCTGGAGAACAGGAAATAATGATGCATTTTGGGACGTTATAGCTGGGTGAGCCTGTGACAAAACCGTTCCACCCTATTCCACTTCTGACTAATTTTATTATCTTGAGTTCATCTCAGCATAATATATAAAATGAGTTACAGCACGGGGAAGCCTGTATGTAGTCAAATTCTTAGCGAATTTTTAAGTAATTTTTGCTGTAATATTATTCCTTGCTCCAAGAACAAATCTACAAATAGGAAAAGATTAGGCCTCAGCTTTCTTTACTGCAAACAGCATGGACTATGGAAGGCATGTAGGAGTCTGGGTAGTGTTGGGTTATGTTTTATTTCTTTTCTTTCAGAAGTATAATTTCCTCTCAGATATCTCTTGTATGAATTCTGAACCTGAAAATCCTGGCACAGTTCTCTCACAGCATTACTGGCCACAAAGGCATCTCATCTTTTCCACGCCAGCCTAATCCAGTTAGAATTTAGATGGGAAAAATTTGTAAGTGGGTGAAGAATACATACAGACATTGATAATAAGACTCAGAGCCAGCAAATATAAAATGTGTGTGTGTGAGAGAGAGAGAAAGCAGAGTATTTGCTTAATAGAATATTTATCATTTACAGCTAAACATCCCATATGAAAGGCAGAAACATCCTTAACATAGCTAGCTGCTACCCCATTCTCAGTGCAGAATGATAAGGCTGGAAGATACCTGTACTTAACAGACTCAAAGAGCTTTACAAAGCCCGACTAGTCAAAGTATGGCATTTTTGTTTGTCTAGCCTAGCTTTAAACCCCTTTAAGATTACCATTTCCTTCTAAAGGGAGAGCTTGAGGCCCTCCCTCAAACCATTCATATCTGAACATGTGACCTAGTCAGTGTTGGGGATCTAGAAGTGCCATTTCCAAAGATGCTGAACATGTGCAGCTCCTTTCCTTGATTTTTCTTTTCCGTAGTTTCCAAGAACTTTGATAGCAGGGTCACCTCAGCAGGTACTGTGTGACCTAAAGATAGATTTATAAACCAAGGCTGCCAGGTCTAGGTACTGAAGAGCTGAGGAGGCACTTAGGATCTGTCTGTCATTCATGGGGAGAGCTGGGTGCCTGAGAGTATAATCCACTTTGCTCTGTGCCGAGAGGGATGCCTAAGGCAGCAGAGCCTGCTGAGGAGCATGATGGCAAGTGCTGGACGTCTCGGGGACTGAAACTTTGGATCATAAGGGCATAATGATGTCCAGTCAATCTGGCAAGGCTGAACTTTTTTTCTGATATGATGTGAGTACATCAGTACTTCCAAACAAGACACTGGGTGCTTTTATCCACTTGATCAGCTATTGAAACCCATCTCCCATATTTGTTCATATATGGGAGATCTAGCCTTGATATCCAGCTATGCCTGTAGCAAGTGAAGCTGTTGAGTATTTTGTGGTGCTGTTTGAAACCTCTCCATCCTTTGCTATGTACCGAGTAATTAAATGTTAACTGAGCCAGAGAAAACATGACAGCATGACTCTAGCCTTGTAGTTTACATTTAATACTTGCTGATGTCAGGGCTGTAATGCTGATCTGGGAGCATCCTGGCACCTAATGCTGTACATCTGTCTTCCCCTCCCCGCTTGGTGTGGTTACTGTTTAATTATTCTGGGAAAAACAGAAAAGCCTTCATAGAACTGACAGATCCCTATCCCAGTGTGGCCCACAGCCTAGTAGGGTAGGAGGGTCGAGCACATAAATTCAGGACCCCTCAAGCAGAGGACAGGACTGAGTGGAAGCTTTAATGAACTGAGGTTTGAACCTTGGTGCCTTACAAGTGGGAAGGACTAGGACACACAAGCCTGTTGTGGAAGAAGCCATTGTGTTTCTGTTGTTGACACCAGAATTTGGCCCATAGTGGTTGAAGCTTTGGCCTTAGCTTCGAAAAATTGATTGACAAGTTCCAAGTGAACTTAATCAACTCCAGAAAACAACTGGGAAGCTAACTGAAAACACTGCAAGATTCATTCTCGAGATGCATGTGGGAGATTTTCCCTAGCTATGAAGGGTTCTCCATTTCTGATGTCAGTAAAAAAACAGTGAAAAAGTGAGTGGTTTATGTGGGGAAGAGTAAAAATAATCTTTAAAATGAATGCTCTCCCATGTCACAAGATACCTCATGTTGTTGTAATTGATCTAAGTATTCCTACAATAGCTATGCTGTGAGCTGAATTTCACCAGTGTTCAGTAATTTCTTGCCAGAGATTCCCTACTTCAAAATTACTCTCTTAATCTCTGTATTTCAGTTCCCCAGAAAGTTTCTGAGCTGAGCGCCAGTGGTGGTGGCTGGCTGAGGTCTCTGCGGGTGAACTGGCTGCCCCCTGCGGGAGACTGGGAGAGGTACCGCCTGCTCCTGTGGAACCACTCCACCGTGGTGCTCAACACCACCATAGAGAAGGACGCGAAGGAGTACCTCATCCAGGACGTGGGCCTCATCCCGGGGAGGCAGTACAACGTGGAGCTCATTGTGGAGAGTGGCAATCTGCAGAGCAGGACTCACTGCACGGGGAGAACAGGTCAGCACGCTCATCTGGGAAACATGCAACTGTAGACTGTTCCGTGAGGCTCTATGGTCAATCAGAAAGAAATAGTTTTTGGATATCTACAAATGAATTTCACTATTAATGCACTGAAAAAGAGCTCCCTTGTAAGCAATAGAAATAAGTATTTTTTAGCAATTCTGTGAAAACTTGGAGCAGTTATTATCACAGTAAATATACTGTTAGTAAAAGTTTGGGGAATCGTATCACCATTCTGTCATAACCAAGGCACTTAAAACATTTCATTGCTACATGTTGTAGCTGGTTGCAGGTGCACTATATAAGTACACTCTAGAGAGAGCAGTATCAAGCTTCCTGTATTGCTCATCAGTATGTACAGTGGCAAGCTGGTTTTCCTACCAGCCTTCATAACTAAGTAGTATCACCAGTGTTAGCAAAAGTTGGCTGAGGTCTATTAGTGTTGCTCTTCCATAAAATCCCAATTCTAGCTCCTCTGCTCCAGAAAGCAAATGTGATGAGTCTGTTCAAGTCAGCCTTTCCAAAGAAAATCCATATGCACTACAGTGACATTAGTGGAATTCTTTCGGAGTATGTTAGAGTAAGTCAAATCCACATCTGATTGATTGCTTCAAACTAAAAAAATAATTGCAATATAGTTGTTAATGATTCTGCTCTGTGAATGCAAAATGAGTGCAATTCAGAGAACAAGAAGACTTGGAGGAGAGTATCAAGCAAAGCCTGAGCTTTTTCTCACAGGAGAATGTGAGATAAGGTAGGGGGGCCCTGTGTTGTTCTCATCCTTCCTGTTGCCTTCCTTTCCTGCTACACCCTTACCTTTCACTCCTTGAGGATTTTCGTTTTGTTGATTTTTGCACAATGGCAAGACCAGTAGAAGTGACAGAACTGAAGCATCCGCTAACTTTTCTAGCCAACATTATCAGAGGAAGCAAAGTTCTGATCTCACGTATTCTGATATACATCCAGAATAATTTTATTTCAGTTCCTGGTGTTACGTTTTGTTGGCACAGCTAAGAGATTAGGACACAGTCCAATAAATAATTTGCACCAGTGGCTGTTTCACAGCTATGTTTGACCCCACAGTCAAGTACATAATGTACATGTTATGAAGCGTAGGTATTAGGGCCTATTCTTATTTAATTTTCTCCCATGTAAGCCCGCAGTCTTGGAAAATGAGTTGTATTTCAGTGATACGAATTCAAAGTAAGAGACAAAAAGACCACCTTTACTGACAAATGCCTTGTATCCTCCTCTGTGCATGTGCAGGCGTGTGTACACATGCAAACACACAGCAATTCATGGATGCAAGGCCAAATACTTTCCTTTATACCACTGTAAATTCGGAGTAACCCTCAACTTCAGTAAGTTATAAACCACAGCAAAATCAGAATGTCACTCCAACCCAATTATTTACATGATTTTTGGTCACAGCTAAATGGGCCTAGGTATATCTTCTGGTATGAATGCTTTATATATCTGTGTAGCACCCACAGTTCAAGAGGAGGCTTGCTGACTTCACTGAATTTCCATTCATCCAAAAATGTATACCCTGGTGTAAGTTTAAATCTAAATATTACAGCCATAAAGCATTACTGAAGTCTACTGCCACAACCCCTTTATTGGAAGAAAAGCACAAATATTATATTTGTAAGGTTTGCTTCCTAGACAAAGGTAAAGAATCTTCTTGTCACTACAAGTATTCTAGTGCTGTCACGCTTAGAGCTTAATTCCTTATAGCAGCTGGAGTTACAATATGTATGTTCACTACAAATTTCTGTTCTCGTTGTGATATTTGTGCACTTCTGCAGCTCCAGAGCCTGTTCTCCAGCTCCGTGTGAAGCATGCCAATGAATCCTCACTTAGCATCATGTGGATGACCCCTGTTGCAGAATGGGACAGCTATGTCGTTTCACTGGGAGACAGGGACCTTACTGTCATTAAAAAAGGGCTTGCAAAAGAAGCTAAGGAATTCACTTTCACTGACTTGGTACCTGGAAGGAAATATACAGCTACAGTTACTACCATTAGCGGGATTTTAAGCAACTGGACTTCAGTGGAAGGAAGAACAGGTGCCATACCGTCAATCTATTTTCATCTTTACTTCTTTTAAATAGCAACAGCTTAGTTTGTTTCATAGTGAACTAAACGAACTCAGTGTCCAAGTATCAAAAGCTTTGAATTTACCTTTGTTTCCTCAGCAGAAAAAGTTGTTTCTGAGTCTCTCACTTCTAACTCTCTCTGATGTCTTGCAGTGTTTATTTAAAGGTTTGGGGAAATGGATATGTAATTCTTGGCAAAACTGTTTTCTGAAATATGATGTCACAGCTGATCAATCTACATTAGCACAAGATTCCATATAAGAAGAACAATTTTCACTGCAATATCTTAGGGAAGGTCACTTCCTTGATTCAAAGCATGCATCATCTGGAAAAAAAAAAAAAGGAACAGGAAAATGTTGCTTTAGAGGGAACATTCCAAGGTTGACAGACACAAAACATATGTGACCTTGAAAATGTATTTTGAGTCTTTCTGTTCTTCTCATTCCAAAATCTGTATCTGTTACTCAGGATGAGGACTGTGACACAAGGAAAGTCCCATTCCCACCCCCTGCAGGGTACTAATGTTGTGCACATGTGCAAGTTTTAAACCATGTGTGTTCCTTTGCTCTGCTTGTGCGTTCTTCTATGCAAGCAGTCCTAAAACGTAGCTCTGGTCTGGCACAGCACAGGAAGAAATAAGCTGCTAGTGCATGAATCTAATCATGCCTATGGCTTGATAGTGTCCCTTACTACAGTGTTTTAACTCCTTCCAAGGCCTGAAAAGTTGGACTTAAACTTTCGTTTCTCTGATACGTGGTGATTAGATAGCTGAGATGTCACTTCCTTCTTCCTTACACCCCTTCAGGAGGCCTATTCTGGCATAAAGGTCACTGTGTCCCAATTCACTAATATGAATCAACGCTATAAAGCAAATCAGGTAGGGATAACGTGTCAGCATTACGCTTGAAGTGGTGATTAATGAACACCTATGAATTTGGAGCATAGGTCATAATAACCATGCCAGACCTCTGGGTCTTCTCAATAGAAAAACCTACTCTGCTTGCAAAATACTGTTCTAAATGTGACAGAAATAGGTCTTAAATGCATCCCACAGTTAAAGGGCTTTTTTTTAATTTCAGGTGTGCTTTGTCATGTAGGTGGATATATACTTAGGAAGAAGTAACTGTATTGCCTTGCTCTGACCAGATATTGTCAAGTTAAAAAAAAAAAAAGACAAAAGAACTTTGGGAAAATTTGTGCTAAATATTCTGTTCCTTTTTTCTTCTTTTTGGTCTGGCTAAGTTCACCAGCTCCTACTTCGATAAGTGCTATTGTTGTTAAACAATTATTTCATCTTTTGATGATAGAAAAGGTAGTATCCTGACAATCTTCTGATGTAAAAATAAAAAGTGAAACCAAAGACATCCATCTCAGTTACCACAAAAATGAAAGAACCTGAAGCTTCTCTGAGGTACAGATGACTACGTCTGAGATATTCATGGAACTGATTCTCAATTTAATAGGAATGAGAGCTGGACAATAGGAGAGGAAAAGGAGAATGAAAGAACCAGTCTGTATATAAAGTAGTCATCACAAAAACAAGTGATTTCCTAAGTTGTTTGCTTTTGTTTAATGGCATTTATAAAATTCAGTCTCTTCCAGTTCTCCAATCTTGAATCATTTTGATCTAACCAAGAAAAGCTATGCTGAAGCCCAAAAGATCTTTCTGTGCTGTAGATAGTTTCCCATAGACCACATCCCATCAGACAGGAAGTAGTCCACAGTTAGATTATTTTTAGTCCTGTTGAGTCTGGCTGTAAATTGTAATGTTCTTTTGATGCACTTCCTCCGTGTGACTAAACTCGGGTTATTTGGGGGATTTTGTTGTGTTTTATTTTGCTTCTCCTCAGTAACAGCATGACATTTTGCATTGCAGTGCCAGCCCAAGTGACTGGTCTGATCGTGGAAAGTCAAGGATCAACCAACAGCTTGTTTACCAACTGGACAAGAGCACTGGGAGATGTAGATTCGTACCAAGTACTATTGATTCATGAGAACGTTGTCATTAAAAATGAGACAGTTCCCAGTGAAACTAACAGATACCACTTCCATCCCCTGAAACCTGGAGGACTCTATTCGGTGGTTGTTACCACTATCAGTGGGGGGATATCTTCCAGGCAAACAATTGCAGAGGAGAGGACAGGTAAGCAAGAAATGCTCCAGCACATCTTTTGTATACTCGTAGAAGCTGAATTCATTAAAGAGAATGGTCTTGCAGTTAAGCCACTGGGCTGAGAGTTCAGAAATACAGGGGTTTCAGCCATACACCTCCTGTGTGACCTCAGGCACGTAATGGGTCCAGATTCATGTTAAGTAACATAAGGGAGCTAACTGCTCATCTACAGCAGAAACCTGATCACTATGTTGCCAAGACAAAAAAATGCACTGAGAATGACATACGGCTGAAGTGAGCGGATCACTCCTTGGAAGGACCTTTCTTATTTAATTGACTAGATGGCAATGTGGGGTGTAAGGTAATTACTCCTCACTTAAGCGTGCAAATTGGTTGCCTCAAGGTGGTGGAATGAATTTGGGTCTCAGTCTCTCATGACTTATTCTTTTACTCCTGCTGA